TAGATGCTTACTGAAAAAATAGTTACGTTTGCTAAAAAAATACAATAATATCTAAAAATTAAGACTGTAAGCGATACTGTCTGAAAAAAAACATGATTATTGAGAAGTTTCATTATTCAATCATGTGCGATTCCGTAACTATTACTGTTGGTCTTTAGTATTTGTTTAGGCTCGAGAACTCAGAGGCACGAAATTAAGAATGGTTACTGTAGAAGGCAGTATTGACAATGACAATCAACAGTTTATTACATTATTCTAGAATTAGCTCAGCGTTAGCGTACGAGTATGCGACTCTAGAGATCTCAGGTTCGAATCTCATCGATGCGTTTTTAAAAATTATATACCTGCGTAATTGTAATTAATAAAATAGAAAATATGCGAAATAGTAATCACAAATTAAACTCTAATACATTTTTTTAAATAATATGTAATAAAAAAAAGAAATTTGTTTTTTTACAACATATTTTAAATATTTTATTAATATTATTTGAGAAACATTATAGTAACGTCAGAAAAACTTTAACGCAACATTATTTATAACGTAATGGCACTCCCATTTCAACATTACCGATACCTCCAAATTGCGGTCAAAGATTGTTCATAATGATGTTGTATACAACGTTAAATACAACATGTTTGAAAACGTTACAATGTTATTGAATATCGTTGTAATAACATTATAGTAATGATTTTTTGCTTACTGGGATGTATTTTAAATAATAATTATGAAAATTTCTATTTGTAAATAATTTACTAAATTGTTATTATCGTATATTATATATGTTAAAATAGCCTACAAAATGATTATTTTAATACATGTATAATATACAACATGAGACACAAATTTGCATCACGAGTGTCAATAGTCATTAATTGCGACGTATTTTTGCCTTCTGAACACAAATCCATTGGCAAAAGTTGAGTATCTTGTCACAAATTGAATAAATATTAATTATAATAAATGTAAAATATATTAATTATTACACTATTTAACAAAAAATGACCTTTTTTCGATCACCATAACGAGAATAATCATTTTTTGACGTTGAATCCGATTATTGTAGAATTGTTCTATTACGTCACGATTTTTAAGAAATTTGCTGGTAAAGTTGCAAAAAAAGAATAATTTCACGTATTTTGTTATATTATAACTTCGAAATGCGACATACTGAAGCAGTATGTTCTTACAATCAAAATTAAGATGTTGTTTAACTTTAAATTTTTCAAAATTGTAACGTGATAGAGAAATTTTACAACTGGATTCAAATACAGCGTCTAAAAAACTATGGGAAATGAATAGCCTCGTATACATGTTTTTTTCTTGTTGAACTGTGTTATCAATCCTATTTTAGGACTTTTAGACGCTTTTTAGCAAACATCTTTTCCCTCAATGAACTGAAATTTTATAGGGATTATTTTTTCATAAAATGGAACCATTTTAAAGGGTAAAACAAAAAATTAAAAAAAATAAATTTTGATCTAATATAAATAATAAGAACCACCCTAATATATACATATATAGTATATATATTATTTATAAGACTTTTGCTCACCGGCTTGTCCGAAATAAGCAGCAACATGAAGCGCAGTGACGCCGAGCTTCTTGCTGGATATTCTAAAAGATTGTGACGACCTCATCACTTCAAGTACGTGGCAGTAGCCGTGCTGAGCTGCCAGATGAACCGCGGTAAAGCCCGCGCGATTTTCGTCAGCGCAGGACGCGCCTGCCCTAACCAGAGCCTTCACGACCTCGGCGTGTCCACCTTCCGCCGCCAGTTGCAGAGGAGTCGCTTCCGTCAACTTATTCCTAGCGGTTATCGTACTCTTCCTATCAAACTTCATTAGCTCTTCGATCATCCGGACATTGGCTTGCATGGCGGCGATGTGGGCGCAGGTATTGCCGTCGTTGGTGCAGGCCAGCATCATACTGGGATATCTTTGTAAAAAGAGTTGCGCTACTTCGATGTAATTATTCATGACCGCAGCGTGAATTGGCTTCTGTCCCTGGTCGTCTGTGGCACCTATGCTTGCACCTAGTTCCAATAATAGATTGCAGACATCCAATTGACCTGCTTCCGCTGCAAGGTGAAGAGGAGTCTGCTTTTTCATTGTGAGCACGTCTATTTCAGCTCTATGGTCCTGTACGAGGAATTGTACCAAATGCGTGTAACCATTCATGGCAGCTAGGTGCAGGGCAGTTTTTCCCACGTGTGATTTGTAGTTTATAAAGTCTTTGTTTGCCAACAACGTATCACAGACTTGAAGGTAGCCATGCTCGGCAGCTAGATGAAGAGCGAATCTACCTTCGAGATCGAACACGTCGACTCGTCCGTGATTAGCGAGAAGAGTGGTCACCAGTTCCATGTGACCCCGATGAGCGGCGATTAGCAACGGCGTCCAACCCACGGCGCTCTGCCGGTTCAAGGCCTTCTGCACTTCCGTAGCTGATATGCGACTGATCATTTCCGTCAGAACCTCGTTGTTGCCGACTAGTGCGCAGTGATGAAACGCTGATTCCTGGGCCTGTCTGGTCTGCAATGAGACGTCCGCTCTGCTATTAAGAAGGATGCGAATAATGGCGCGATCGTCGCCGGGAGCACCGACTTTCGAGGGTTCGATTTGGGCCGCGTAATGGAGCGCGCTGCCACCTTCGTTAGTCAGACTATTTACATAGGCGGTCGCCACTTCTGACCCTTTCCTTTTTTTTACAAATTCTATCAAATATCGGACGACGTCAGTTCTGCAACTCCTGCAGGCTAAATGCAAAGGTGTTTCTCCTTTCTGAGGAAAATAGAAAGCTCAGTATAAATAGAAATAATTTAACATTTATTGTTTTGAGAAAATTATTATATATAATCATTTGTTAAAACATATTGAAAAAATTTAATTTGTTTAATTATATTATATAAAGGTTGTGTTTTTATAAATTATATCTTATTTCTGGCTTTGTCGACGTACTTTTGATTTAAACATCGGGTCACCATCATTGTCGAGGAGTAAAAGGAGTGTCGCTAAATTCCCATGACTGGCTGCCACATGCACGGGCGTTTGACCATCGTTGATAGTTAGATTGGGATTTGCTCCAGATTGCAATAATATCAGAACGCATTCGTTGCTATCAGCCACTCTAGCAGCTATGTGAAGTGGAGTCTCTCGAAGTTTTCCACCTCTCACGTGTACCTTTGCACCGTATCCCAAAAGGGTTTCCACGACAGCTGGTTTGATATTTTCCACGGCTATATGGAGTGCCGTATAAGCATCATTGGTTGTCGCGTCCACCTAGGTATAAAAAAAATAAGCGGTTTCCATACAATGAAATTTAGTATTTGGAGATACGTAGAAAACATCTTAAATTGAAAACCAAATTTCTTGATACTTGATTTCACATCTGTGTGTGTGTGATAAATACCTTTCAGAAATAAAAATATGGTATTTTTAAAGTAATATAAATATATGTATAAAGATTGAATTTAAAATATGCGAAATATTCATAAGCAAAAAAATTAATTTTAATTTTATCAAAGTATTTATAAGCGAGTATTTAATATTTATGCATGCGATGTCATATGATATACCCTCAATCGTGACTGTATTTTCCATATCGCTGACAGATCATTTACCTTCTCTCCTCGTTGCAGCAGAGTGCTGATAATACCCACATGGCCGTATTCTGCAGCTATATGAATGGATCTGGCACCACGTTTGTTTGGCATGTGCAGATACAGGCCCTTCTTCAAGAGCATAGTGACACATTCCGAGTGACCGTTCAGCGATGCTATGTGCATCAGAGTGGAACCGTCTTTTGTCCTTTCGAAGATATTTGCATTGAATTTATCGGCCAGCAGCTCGATAATGGTAGCATGACCGTTCTCCGCGGCCAAATGCATCGGCGTACGATCTTGGTAATCAGTGATCGAGGCAGAGGCTCTGATATCGTAAAGATATTTCACTAAAGTTTTGTCACCTTCGGCGCTCGCTATGTGTAACGCAGTTTGCCCATCACCCTGAAATACGTATAGAACTATATACGTATTACGTATATCTCTTGATAATATTGTACGTTATAAGTTTTGTTTAATGATAAATTTTATACATTTTTATTTTAATTTTTATATATTGGTAATACAATAAAATCCGAGAAATTTTTTATTTTATTTTATTTTAAAATTACTTCTTTTTCGATTACGTTAGTAATAAAATTATCTCTTTTCATCTTTTACTAATTATAACTTAACTTGTATTGTTACTTTGTTTCTATATCATATTTTAAATATACCATACATATTGCAGATATTATATGAAAACCTAAAATATTGTTTATTAATCGATTCTATTTTCATTCATAAGTTATGCATATACTAATCTTATAATTGTTTTTATAAATTATTGCTCAATTAAGAGCCATTGGATATTATTGCATAATAGTAAAAACAGTATCTTAAAATTATAAGGGAAACGAAGGTACAATTAAAATAATCTTTAGATAGTTTAAGACCTCATCGTAAATTTTACGACCGTCTCGTTTCTAATTACTCATTTAAAAACATACATATAACTTGCAATTGCAGCAATTTAACATGTGCGTCATTTCTGTTTCATGTACGATCGATCTTGTCAAATTTTTGTACTTAATTTCCTTGCAGGATCAAAATTAAAGTCAAAATAGAATTGTACACGAGATTTAGCGCTTTGCGTTATAATACAAATATGTACGAAATACCTTTATAACCTGATCAAAATTCCATTGACTTTACGACAAGTTAAACAGTACTATTATATTACACGTTATGTCTCAGAAATTCGAAATTGTTTATTTACGCGTTAAAAAGATAAAAAAATAGTTAAACGGTTATTTCCGACTGGCATAAAATTGTAGAGAGGATAATTAAACGATTACATAGTTTACCAAAATGCGGACAGAAATGGTAAAGAATTCGCATTGTATTTACATCACAGCGTAAATATAATTTGCGAGCTTTGAAACATTCAGCGGAAATATACAATTGACAAAGTTTTAACAAAATATACCGTCTGATTATTATTGGCTAACTTCATCTGGAATCTTCGCGCTTAAAACTTAACGTACATTTTGCATGTTGACGGCCGCGCCATAATCTAGGAGAATCTGCACCATGTCAATGTTCTTTCTTCTAGTAGCCAAATGTACGGCGGAATCACCGGCTGGCGTAGTGGCGCAAAGCTGATCTGATGCTTGTTGATGTGCCAAAAGTTTCCGGCAGATCGACTGATTGCCAGCCTCGATTGCTAGCAGAAGAGGTATCTTTCCTTTCTGCGACAATCAGATTTAAAATAAATTGTAAGTTAGAACGATTCTTTCTCCGACTTTACTCATAATACGAGGATAATTACCTAACATGATGAAAGAAATAAAAAAAAAAATTTTTTAATTAAAAATTAAAAAATTTGTATAAATATGAGCGGAAATTCTTTTTCAATTTTTATTAATTATTTTAAAAATATGGTTTATTTAAATCATAAAATAAATTTTGTTTTCAAAAATTTTGAGAAACTTCATTGTTCTTTGCAATCTTGCTGCTCAAGTAAGGTATATAAATTAAATTTAATAAATGTCAAATGCTTATATCATTTATAATAAATAATATAAAGAAAATAATTTTACTACGTTTATTACATTTTATTATATTTTATAATTAATCAATTACGAAAAGTGCTAGGAGTAATCGTAAAAATATTATATCTAGAGATACTAATTTTTCGCATAAAGAAATTTCAACAAATATTACAACGTAATTAGATATTATTACGTCTATAGCTAATAAGAGATTGAAAATTTAAATTATGAGTGCCCTTAAAATCGCACAAGCCAAAATGCAAAGACATAAATAAAATATTTTTCACTCTTCTACATTTATGCCAAATTTGAATGAAATTGGTGAGTTACACTTGGGTAGGTTTACTTGTTTCTAATTTGATTTAGCACAGATTGTAACTTGATCATTAGCTGTACATGTTTCGTGGCACGTGTCACCTTCGCGGGTATTATTACATGCCAATGCCACCCCAGCACAAGAACTTATCACGATGACAATGAATCAAGAAATGATGAATCAAACATTTTTCCCATTTATGGTTTTAAATGGAATATATAAAAAAAATTTATCCGCCCACATATGATTCTTATTACGATAAATAAAATAAATATTCCTTGAATTTTATTAATGATGAAGACTCTGGATTTATTAAACAATTTGTCTTATTTATCGTAGAATACTTGCATTGTTTCTGGCGTTCACGTCGGATCCGAGCTCGATCATCCGATCGAGTAGCTCGCTGCGGTTGTCCTCCACTGCGTACATCAACGGCGTCATCCCTGTCGTCTGCAAATAAAAAAATTTTTGTATAAAAAATTAAAATTTGCAGTGCGATCTTTTTATAAAT